AGGAAAACGTCCTCGAGTCACGTATGCTCGGGTAGCCGGAAGACCTCCAACCTCGACGGTCCTTCCGCCTCTCAATCCGTCCGTGTCTTCCGGGGTCACACCAGTTTCTAATTCTTTTGTGGTTTTATCCTCTGACACTCCTACCTCCACACCACTTCCTACTTCTACTTCTTCATCTCGCTCGCTTACTTCTCAGTCTACGAGACCTCACAGACCTTCACTTCCTTCGCGTCCATCACATGTACAGAATCAATCTTCTACTTCAGAGCCTAGTTCTAACCCCCTTTCCAGCTCTCCCCCCTTCCCCTCCCCCCCCGTCTTCCTCCATAGTAATGCTCCAATCTCCTTGCTCTCCTGTTACACTGCTGGACTCGACTGCCTCAACCAACACATGTATGCAGGCTCATACTCCCCGCCTCCCTCAGACCTCTTTGCTTGTCTCCATAGTTACTCCGACCTTTACTTGCAATGCCTCTCCAATCTGTGACATTATGGCATCGTCGGCTTCCTTAACTGAGACGTTAGATGCTATCTCCAACTGTATTGTGAAGATAACACCCCCGATGGACACCAGTGCGCCTCCTTCTACCCCTTCTGTTTTACGACTCTCACAACAGTCTATTCCTCCGCAGTATTCTAATTCTTCTTTGCTTACCCACTTACCGTTGCTCCCAAACACTGAGCTTACTGATCCTAAAAGCCCATAGGTTTTATCGTTATTTATTGTTGCCATTTTTTATTTCTGTACATAATGTCTTTTTTACAATGGAATATTCGTGGCCTTAGGGACAATCGAGAACTCCTAGCGTTGCTCTCCCAGTTGTCCCCAGTATGTGCTGGGCTGCAAGAGCCCAAAATTCGTTCTGCTGTCATTCGTTCCAGTTTCGGGCTACGAGCTGTTACATTCTTTTGGTCCTTTACCTGTCTAATCATTTAATGAAAGCGAGCTTCTTGTGCGTGTTGATATACCGTATCAGCAAGTTTTTGTTCATTCCCTGCTGCAATATGCTGCAGCTCGTATTTATTTACACAGATAGTTTACAGTTTGCTCTCATGATCTTTCTCCCTTCTGTGCATTCTGTATCTCTGATATCGCGTTTTTAATTTCTTCTCTACCGCCACGCATCTTGTTGTTGGGTGACTATTAACGCTCACCACTACCTGTGGGGAGGGTCCCACTGCGACACTCGTGGTGATCAGTTGGAGACTCTTCTCGCTTCTAATCCTCTTCATGTTTTAAATACGGGTGCTCCTACCTATTTTGAATCTCTCACTCAATCTCTCTCTTGCATTGATCTTTCTATCTGTTCCTCGCCCATTGTACTTGATTTCGAGTGGCCTATTCTTCCAGATTTGCATGATAGTGATCACTTTCCTATCCTTCTTACTTCTACATACACCCACCATTTCGTAGCTGTCGTTGGCAATTTGCTCGAGCAGGCTGGGACTTATACTCCCATCTTACCACCTGCAGTGAGGACCCCCTTTCGTCGTCTATTCATGAACTGGCACACCAATTTTTGACCTTAGTCCTAACTATGGCGACATGTTCTATCCCCCAAACCTCAGGTAAGCATTCTCAGACATACCTTGGTGGTTTAAAACGTGCTGTGTGGGGGCCGTTGTCGATATAACCGTACCGCGGAGCGTCTGTTGGATTTTAAGCAGGCAAGGGCAGTTGCTCGCCGCGTCATATGCGACGCGAAACGCGCTTGTTTGCGAGACTACATGTCTACCATTATCTCGTCTTTCTCTATGCGCACGATTTGGAGAAAGGTGCACAAATTGTGTGGTAAGTACACTCCGGACACAGCTCCCATCTTGCAGGTTGCTAGAGTTGTTGCAGACCTTTAGAAGCTGCCACAGAAATCGGGAATTATCTTCTCTGTATCTCCCGAGGGCTTCACCTCTGTCGTTCATTTGTTGCATCTAAACCAACCAAAGAGCAATTGCCCTTAGATTTCTCCTCCGATGGATTGGAGCCATATAACGTACCTTTTACTCTTCTAGAATTAGAATCCACGCTTTCCATTTGCCGGCCGTCGGCACCGGGACCTGATGATATCCACATCAGTATGCTACATCACCTCCATTCTATGGCCCTTCCCGTTCTTTTACGTCTTTTCAATTTAATTTGGGAGCGAGGGGTTCTCCCTCAGCACTAGAAATCGGCTCTTGTACCACCGTTTCACAAACCTAGCGCCTCGGGGCTTGACACCTCTCACTATCATTCCATTGTCTTGACCAGTGTGATCTACAAGGTGATGGAACGATTAGTGAAAAGACGTCTGATGTGGTGCTTAGACACACAATAGCTTTTCCCCTCGCTAATATGGCTTTCGCAGTAATCTTCCAAACTTCATCGCTGCTTTCTTGGCCGATAGATATTTTCGGGTACGTATTGGCGTGTCGCTTTCCTGCCTTCCGTTCTTCCTTCGTATATTTGGTCGTCACTTTATGTTGATGACTTCGCTATAGCTTACTCGGGCGCTGACTGCCGACTAGTAGCAGCCTCCCTTCAGGTTGTGATAGACCGAGTCTCCCTTTGGACCACTTTTCATGGCTTTAAATTTTCTAGTACGAAAACCCAATTCATTATCTTCACTAGACGTCCGCTTATTCTGGATACTCCCTTGTACTTACACGGTTCAAGTTCCTGGGCCTGCTCTTTGATCGCTGGCTGACGTGGAGACCTCACGTTTCTTCTTTAAAGATAACCTGCCATGGTCGACTAAATCTCCTTAAGATTCTCGCACATCGTTCGTGGTGAGAAGATCGTCGCGCTCTCCTCCGTTTGCATTACACCCTAGTCTTCTGCAAAGTAGATTATGGTGACCAAATCTATTCTGCGGCCTCTCCCACAACTCTAAGTTAGATCCCATTCGTAACCAAGGTCTCCATCTGTGCCTTGGTGCCTTTCGTTCGTCCCCAGAACATTCGCAGAAGCGAATATTCCATCCTTGTCCGATCGCCGTGACGCTCATTGCCTTCTCTATTAAGTTAGATCTCATGACCTCCACAATCCTTCCGTATATAGGATAGTCACTGATGTTAGTAGACGTTCTTTATTTGTACATCGCCTCTGCTTATTCCGTCCCTTTTCTCTCCTCCTATATTCGCTCTTCTCTTCTCTTTCTATATTCATGTAGCATCTCACTTTCCCCTGCCTCCTTGGGAAGTTCCAGCTGTCTGATCTGCTCCATAACAAACTTCATTCTGTTAAACCGAGTATAGGTTTCTGGCTGTCTTCTTGTCATCAATGTCGGGGTTGGGAGACTACTCTCTCCTGGCCACACACTTCTTACTCACGGGTATCTCATGGAGAAGCTCCCTGTTCTTCTCTGAAAATTGTCAGGTTCCAGTATCTGTTAGCCACATTATGTTGGACTGCCCAGTCTATCATCGAGCACACAGAATTTACCTCCAACGTCGTTTCCGCTCTGCTGCCCTTTCTTTACCTTCCCTTCTTGCTGATGGATCCTCCTTTAATCCAGACTCACTCATTGACTTTTTGACAGCAACTGATTTACTACACAAACTCTGATGATGATACCTTTAGCACTTCCCTCAGTCCTTCCTACCTCAATCTCTTGCTATCCTCTACCCCTGCACTATCCACTGCCCCGCTGGACTTAATGATCTAATAATCATCCCTCTCCCTCTTGCTACCCATTACCCCTGCATCCTTTCCTACCCTGCTGCGCTGTATTACCCTTGTGGTTTAGCGCTATTTTGTGTTATAATAATTCTCAGCTTTGTCCTACTCCTTTAAACACAGAGTAAATTCAATTAAGAAAAAAAATGAGACCCGGTTAACATTTCACTGCTAAGACAAAATTGTAATTTTTTTTTTACTACAGAAACTTTACTCTGACCTTAGTTATTCTAAGGTACTTAATTCAACTCATAATTTTACTTTAATCCCTTTAAAGTACATTTCAACTTTCCTTCAAAGTACTATCATCTATCGCCAATAACCCCATTTCCTTAACCATACTTAGATCCCAAAATACTTTTCTAATTATACTTTCTAGCAAGCCTCTTTAAACAACCAAAATATATCGCCCTTTGCGAAAGCCTTTTCAACGTAAGTGAAATACTAATCTTTAGCTTAATTTGTGAACACATCCACACTTGCTCTGAACTAGACTGTGAGTAAGAGTTGTTGCCAAAAATTTGGCAACAACTCTTAGTCACAAATGAAAGTAATGAAATGTGAGGAAAGTAATCAGGAAACTGAAGATATTTTGCCACAGAAGCTGCTAGTTTATTGTGCGCCCCATATCCATCCTGTGGACGGCAGTGCAACAGCATATGGATTTTGGAGAAGAGAGAAAGAGGAATATAATTGTTATTCAAAATACTAAGAGATATGGAAAAAGCATGAGATGAATGAAAGAGACGCAGGTACCCACAGGACCACACAGATGAGTGCTGGAGATGTTAGAAAGTGTTCATTTAATTTCAGTGTTTGAGAGAAGGGGAATCAGTTAGGCGATGAAATGGCGACTTTAAAATCTAGTCACAACTTTTAAGTTAGGAAAGATATGGCAAGAGAGGCCAGAATTTAGCAGATGCTAGTTAAAGCAGTTTACAAGGCAGGAGCAGGAGCTATAACTCGACACTTACTAATACAACTAACTAAACAGTCAAATCTTTACATATAAAAGAATACCTTTAACTTATCATAGTAACATAAACATTTAAAGTATTACATAGCAACATAAATAAATAGAATATCGTTCAGCAGAATAAGCACCTAGAGTTATACTCAACCAGTCGAGTAAATACCTATTGATTTGTACTACTTGACATTCACCTTGAGCTTTACACGTAGGATAAACACCTGCTTTACCCAGCAGTATAAATATTTAGAGGATTAAAACCTAAAGTTTTGCACAACACAATAATCACAAAAATATCACATGAGAGGAAAGCATAAAGACACTAGTAAGTAGAATTCACACATCATGGTTGTGATTCTGTCTGCAGTTGTACAGTTGTGCGTCCACCGGATGGTTCCTTTGGAAACAAGCTGCCCAATGGCTCGTGGACGGGCATGGTGGGCCAGGTGGGGCGCAAGGTGAGTGTAGCAGGCATGAAGGTTAGTGCAGGGGGCATGAAGGTCAGTGTAGTGGGCATGAAGGTCAGTGTAGTGGGCATGAAAGTCAGTGCAGTGGGCATGAAGGTCAGTATATTTTATTATTTTATTATCACACTGGCCGATTCCCACCAAGGCAGGGTGACCCGAAAAAGAAAAACTTTCACCATCATTCACTCCATCACTGTCTTGCCAGAAGGGTGCTTTACACTACAGTTTTTAAACTGCAACATTAACACCCCTCCTTCAGAGTGCAGGCACTGTACTTCCCATCTCCAGGACTCAAGTCCGGCCTGCCGGTTTCCCTGAACCCCTTCATAAATGTTACTTTGCTCACACTCCAACAGCACGTCAAGTATTAAAAACCATTCGTCTCCATTCACTCCTATCAAACACGCTCACGCACGCCTGCTGGAAGTCCAAGCCCCTCGCACACAAAACCTCCTTTACCCCCTCCCTCCAACCTTTCCTAGGCCGACCCCTACCCCGCCTTCCTTCCACTACAGACTGATACACTCTTCAAGTCATTCTGTTTCGCTCCATTCTCTCTACATGTCCAAACCACCTCAACAACCCTTCCTCAGCCCTCTGGACAACAGTTTTGGCAATCCCGCACCTCCTCCTAACTTTCAAACTACGAATTCTCTGCATTATATTCACACCACACATTGCCCTCAGACATGACATCTCCACTGCCTCCAGCCTTCTCCTCGCTGCAACATTCATCATCCATGCTTCACACCCATATAAGAGCGTTGGTAAAACTGTACTCTCATACATTCCCCTCTTTGCCTCGAAGGACAAAGTTCTTTGTCTCCACAGACTCCTAAGTGCACCACTCACCCTTTTCCCCTCATCAATTCTATGATTCACCTCATCTTTCATAGACCCATCCGCTGACACGTCCACTCCCAAATATCTGAATACATTCACCTCCTCCATACTCTCTCCCTCCAATCTGATATCCAATCTTTCATCACCTAATATTTTTGTTATCCTCATAATCTTACTCTTTCCTGTATTCACTTTTAATTTTCTTCTTTTGCACACCTACCAAATTCATCCACCAGTCTCTGCAACTTCTCTTCAGAATCTCCCAAGAGCACAGTGTCATCAGCAAAGAGCAACTGTGACAACTCCCACTTTATGTGTGATTCTTCATCTTTTAACTCCACGCCTCTTGTCAAGACCCTCTCATTTACTTCTCTTACAACCCCATCTATAAATATATTAAACAACCACGGTGACATCACACATCCTTGTCTAAGGCTTACTTTTACTGGGAAATAATTTCCCTCTTTCCTATGTACTCTAACTTGAGCCTCACTATCCTCGTAAAAACTCTTCACTGCTTTCAGTAACCTACCTCCTACACCATACACCTGCAACATCTGCCACATTGCCCCCCTATTCACCCTGTCATACGCCTTTTCCAAATCCATAAATGCCACAAAGACCTCTTTAGCCTTATCTAAATACTGTTCACTTATATGTTTCACTGTAAACACTTGGTCCACACACCCCCTACCTTTCCTAAAGCCTCCTTGGTCATCTGCTATCCTATTCTCCGTCTTACTTTTAATTCTTTCAATAATAACTCTACCATACACTTTACCAGGTATACTCAACAGACTTATCCCCTATAATTTTTGCACTCTCTTTTGTCCCCTTTGCCTTTATACAAAGGAACTATGCATGCTCTCTGCCAATCCCTAGGTACCTTACCCTCTTCCATACATTTATTAAATAATTGCACCAACCACTCCAAAACTGTATCCCCACCTGCTTTTAACATTTCTATCTTTATCCCATCAATCCCGGCTGCCTTACCCCCTTTCATTTTACCTACTGCCTCACGAACTTCCTCCACACTCACAACTGGCTCTTCCTCACTCCTACAAGATGTTGTTCCTCCTTGCCCTATACACGAAATCACAGCTTCCCTATCTTCATCAACATTTAACAATTCCTCAAAATATTCCCTCCATCTTCCCAGTATAGTGGGCATGAAAATTGGTATAGAAGGCAGGAAGGTGAGTGTACATCATGTGGGCAGGAAGGTGAGTGTCGATCATGTAGGCAGGAAGGTGAGTGTAGATCATGTGGGCAGGAAGGTGAGTGTAGATCATGTGGGCAGGAAGGTGAGTATTGTAGATCATGTGGGCAGGAAGGTGAGTGTATATCATGTGGGCAGGAAGGTGAGTGTAGATCATGTGGGCAGGAATGTGAGTATTGTAGATCACGTGGGCAGGAAGGTGAGTATTGTAGATCACGTGGGCAGGAAGGTGAGTGTATATCATGTGGGCAGGAAGGTGAGTGTAGATCATGTGGGCAGGAAGGTGAGTATTGTAGATCACGTGGGCAGGAAGGTGAGTATTGTAGTTCACGTGGGCAGGAAGGTGAGTATTGTAGATCACGTGGGCAGGAAGGTGAGTGTATATCATGTGGGCAGGAAGGTGAGTATTGTAGATCACGTGGGCAGGAAGGTGAGTATTGTAGATCATGTGGGCAGGAAGGTGAGTATTGTAGATCATGTGGGCAGGAAGGTGAGTGTATATCATGTGGGCAGGAAGGTGAGTGTAGATCATGTGGGCAGGAAGGTGAGTATTGTAGATCACGTGGGCAGGAAGGTGAGTATTGTAGATCACGTGGGCAGGAAGGTGAGTATTGTAGATCACGTGGGCAGGAAGGTGAGTACAATAAGTTTTGTGGGCAAGAATGTGTCAGTTATAATTATAAGAGGTAATAATTATAATTTTGCGGGAGAATTATAATCTTGGTGGAGAGGGAATAATCACAGTCCTGGAGGAGAGGGAATAGTTACCATCATAGTGAAGACGTGAAGAAAACAATGTCGCACATTCCTCCAAGATGTTTTACTTGTCATCCTCAGTCCCAAAGTTGAAGTCTAAGTCAAGAGTCTTGATGCCAGGAAGAGGCTCATGATATAAGTAGCTCTCTGTCACTCTCCCCTCTCTCTCTCTCTCCCCTCTCTCTCTCTCTCTCTCATTCTCTCTCATTCTCTCTCATTCTCTCTCATTCTCTCTTTCTCTCATTCTCTCTCTCATTCTCTCATTCTCTCTCTCATTCTCTCTCTCATTCTCTCTATTATTTATTTGAACATAAACTGGCAGGTGGCGATATAGTTTTGGAGTGGTTGGTGTTTTTATTTAATAAATGTATGGAAGAGGGGAAGGTACCTAGGGATTGGCAGAGAGCATGCATAGTTCCTTTGTATAAAGGCAAAGGGGACAAAAGAGAGTGCAAAAATTATAGGGGAATACAAATGTTGAGTATACCTGGTAAAGTGTATGGTAGAATTGTTATCGAAAGAATTAGAGTAAATCGGAGAGTAGGATAGCAGATGAACAAGGAGGCTTTAGGAAGGGCAGGGGGTGTGTAGACCAAATGTTTACAGTAAAACATATAGGTGAAGAGTATATAGATAACGGTAAAGAGGTTTTTGTGGCATTTATGGACTTGTAAAAGGCTTGTGACAGGGTGGATAGGGAGGCAATGTGGCAGATGTTGCAAATGTATGGAATAGGAGGTAGGATATTGAAAGCAATGAAGAGTTTTTACAAGGATAGTGAGGCTCAGGTTAGATTATGGTGGAGAAAGCGAGATTATTTCCCAGTGAAAGTAGGCCTTAGACAAGGATGTGTGATGTCACCATTGTTGTTCAATATATTAATAAATGGGTTGTAAGAGAAGTGAATGCTCGGGTGTTGACATAAGGTGAGGGGTTAAAAGATAAAGAATCTAACACAGAGTGGGAGTAGTCACAGTTGCTCTTTGCCGGTGACACTGTGCTTTTGGGAGATTCTGAAGAGAAGTTGCAGAGGTTGGTGGATGAGTTTGGTAGGGTATGTAAAAGAAGAAAATTAAAAGGGAATATCGGAAAGAGTAAGGTGACGAGGATAAAAAAAAATAGGTGACGAAAGACTGGATATCAGATTGGAGGGAGAGAGTATGGAGGACGTGAATGTATTCAGATATTTAGGAGTGGATGTGTCAGCATATGGGTCAATGAAAGATACGGTGACTCATAGAATTGATGAAGGAAAAAAGGTGTATGGTGCAGTTAGGAGTTTGTGGAGACAAAGAACTTTGTCCATGAAAGCAAAGAGGGAAATGCATGAGAGTGTAGTTATACCAACGCTCTTATATGGGTGTGAAACATGGGTGGTGAATGTTGCAACAAGGAGAAGGCTGGAGCCAGTGGAGATGTCATGTCTGAGGGCAATGTATGGTGTGAATATAATTCACAGAATTCGTAATTTGGAAATTAAAGGAAGGTACGGGATTACTAAAACTATTATCCAGGGGGTTGAGGAGGGGCTGTTGAGCTGGTTCAGACATGTAGAGAGGGTATTAAAAGCATATGGGGATATAGTTTTGGGGAATAAGTCAGTTGAGTATACCTGGTAAAGTGTATGGTATGGTTATTATTGAAAGAATTAGGTGTAAGACGGAGAGTAGGATTGCAGATGAACAAAGAGGCTTTAAGAAGGGTAGGGGATGTGTAGACAAAGTGTTTACAGTGAAACATATAGGTGAACAGAATTTAGATAAGAGTAAAGAGGTTTTTGTGGCATTTATGGATTTGGAAAAGGCGTATGATAAGTGGATAGGGGGGCACTGTGGCAGATGCTGCAAATGTATGGAATAGGAGGTAGGTTACTGAAAGCAGTGAAGAGTTTTTACGAGGATAGTGAGGTTCAGGTTAGAGTACATAAGTGAGAAGATTATTTCCCAGTAAAAGTAGGCCTTAGACAAGGATGTATGTTGCTATTTAAGTCAAAATAGCAAGTTTCGTCTATTCGGCACGACATATATATGCATTATTATATTTTAAAATCTCTTCATGGTGTTATTCAAGTTTTGCTGTCTGACATCCTGTCTAAAGTATTCTGCTTCAATAAACATATTTTTTTAAAACAAATTAGCACCTCTGAGTGCTCACTCTGTGCTTGACCGCAGGAGGTTGACATGGGTCTTGGCCCGTATGGTGTCATAGCCGAACGAACTGAGGTAATAGACTACACGACACCAGTTATGAGCGACTATCTGAGGATTCTTGGCGGTCAGGGCATACCTGAGGTGAATCCCTGGGGGTTTCTGCTGCCCCTGGACATGACGGTGTGGGCAGCACTGGTGGGGGCGCTGGTGTTAGTCCTGGCCACAATGTTCGTTTTGGCATCAATATTACCGATCAAAACTCCCGTCCTCTCTCTCTTCATTCGCATGACACTGAGAGAAAGTAAGTTCTAAATTAGTGAGTTACACTTTTGTATGTGGATCATCTTTGTATTATTTATCTAATGCTACGTTCTAGAGCTATCATTCAACTTTCCCCTTGGTTGTTCTGCATAAATTAATTCGTAATAACTACAGTAAATTATGAATGTTTTACCAAGTATCTAACTGCTGGGAAGATTCCCATTGTCGCTACCTATATCTGCATCACATAACTTTAAGTCTTGACTGCCTGGCACCCTAATACTCTCCCAGGGTTTTTTGGTTCTGTATAAGTAATATATACCTTGCTTTTAACGCCACAGTTATCGTTAATCGGCAACGATTATTTTGCAAAACCGATCAAACATTGCAAAATTAATATTTTTTGAGGGTAAACCAATTGAATTTTGGCTAACATTAGGTTAAAGGGTTGAGATCAAGATATGTTATTTAGATTTTACTTAGGCTGATAATTTTGTTTTTGTACAATGTTCATAATTTGTTTACCAAGTTAATATACATGGGTTATGCACACCATATGTCCGTCAGTGTGTATAAATGTGTCAGACAAGATGGTATAAACCTTGGTAATAAATACCGACAAGTTGGTTTAGAAAGACACGTAAGCAAACACTATAACATATTTATTAGAAAACGTTTCGGTCCTGGGACCTTGATCAAGGTCCCAGGACCGAAATGTTTTCTAATAAATATGTTAGTGTTTGCTTACGTGTCATTCTAAACCATAAATGTGTACACACAAAATGGCCACCGAGTAAAAAATGGTGAAATTCCAAGTTCTTTGTTGATTGATCACATTATCAAGGAATAGTTAAAGTAAAAGAACAATAGAAGACTTGAGAAGCTTAAATATGACCACACACAGCACCCTACTCACTGAAATGAAGCCTGGTCACAGACCGGGCCGCGGGGGCGTTGACCCCGAAACCCTCTCCAGGTATACTCCGGGTATACATGGGAGTGTAGTGAAGATTTAATCACCTTACATGAAAAAAAAAGTTGTGAGTGATGTGTTAAGTATAGTTTTATATCCTCAAAAATTTTTTGCATTATTAATTAATCTATTTTATACAACCCAGAACTTATATTTATTTAGATATTAATATATTTTTATGAAGTCTGATTGTTATATTTCACTCAATCTGCTCGATACAACCTTCTCAGTTTTTTTTTTTCAAAATCAGTTGGGTGGCTAAGAGGAAGGAGTAATTACTCTAGTTTCACTCTCACTTGTAGTTGCAACAAATCGAAGCAAGGAGAAGATAGCGTGTCTTGTGATGCTGGTACGAACATGTGTGTTCAGTTAATCTGTTATGAGGAAGTAAGACTCCAGTAGACTCTCCTGGGGGGGGGGGGCTGTCTCTCTCAGACGGCTGAGGGATACCCAATTTACTGGAGAATTTTCTCCACAATAATGAACTTCATTACATTTCTTCCAGGGAATTTTGTACTCACAGCCGTCAGCATTTTTTGGGGAACGCGTAATCAATGATTTTTTTTTAGTGTATCAAAATTTTGAAATTCTTATCTTGAGAAGGTTTATCGACAAAGTTTTATGGAAACGTAAAACCAAAAAAACTTTTGGTTGAATATATTTCTTTGTCCTTTCATGAGATTTGTAAATAAATTTTTGGCGATATTTTACATCATATTCTATTTCATAAATCCTCAGTATTTTCTTAGCTATGGATTCTTGGCTGCAAATGCTCAGAGCTTCCTAAAACACGGAGGAAAATACAAGACATTTAACTCTGTCATGATGTGAAGAATAATGGTGTACCTAAGAACAGGTATTTGTTGGTATTCTGTATATTTTTAATTTAAATTATTGGTTCTGCTTATTAATCTGGTTGAGCGAAATATAGGGATTCAAGCATCTTAATAAATAACATTGATTACAGTTTGAATATACGTTCTGGGTTGTATAAAATAGATTAATTTATACTGAACATAATTTGTGGGGAATTTATTCTATGCCTGACATGTCACTCCCCCCCAAAAAAATTCATGTGGCCTCAGTAAATCTTCACTACACTACCAGGCTGAAGTCATATTTAAGGAAATCCATGGGAATTATTTAATCAAATAGAGCCGTCCGTCCAACTTACTACACAAACCTGACGACCGCTCACTGATATTCCTCATATATCGTAAACCCCCAACAAGACGAATTTGCTCCATTTTCGTTTTAACCAAAACACAGATTAAATGCGACATGGTAATACGATTTTTTCTTCGTGTACAGAAAATATGTACTCCCAGATACCGGGAAGATGAGTGCGTCTACATTCCACAATTTTTCACGTTCTTCACATCACACCCACAACAGACACCACCATAATACTTATATCATACCCGCCTAACAACTAGGAACATAACCAATGACTACTCATCATGTAACATCAGTAGCTACAGTTAATAGCATCACTGTGAAAGACTTAACTAAAACAGTGACGCAGGTGTTTGCATTATCCTGTGTGAGGGTTGCTAGGAAGTATACGTTGAGGAACCTTCAAGGAACTGGGAAATATGTGTTAGAGAACAAATTTTCCAGCACAATAGATGAAAAGTGTGTGTGTGTATGTGTGTTTCATTTAACTCTCAGGTATCAAATCATGACTTGGAATGAGGCAGAATCGTTAACAAGCAAACAGACCTCTGTTCGAAGTTCAAACAGCGATTGCTTTAACTTTTCAAAAGTGTTAGCGCGAATAAACCTGAGATTCCACAACACTCACCACTTCATCATTAAATCTGTACATTATCGTTACCCTGAATAACTCAGGTCGCCACCTACTACCCCCTGTTCCCTCACTTCTTCACTATATCCGTTTGTATTAATGTTGGTAGAATTACAATAATGTATTATCACTGATTTCATCATTGCTTAGTTAATTTTAAGCCAGCCCGTAATGCTATGCATAGTATAAGTGGCTTTGGCATGCTGCTCTTATCTGTATTTTTTTGTACCTTTGTATGTATGCTCAAGCCTTTACGGCTTGACAAAGCTCCTGGAGAGCGAAACGTTGCCACAAAATGTTGCATTAATTGCAATTGTGTGTTTTTACTTAACACACTAACCCTGTTGTCCTGATGGTGTAACGTGCGTAACCTTAGTAAAATATTGGATATGATGCATATGTGTTCGTTTACTTAATATAATTTGAGTAATTCATGAAGAAAGTTACTGCGTTTCTCGATATTAATATTATTATTACAATCATATCAAGAAAGACGGGTAAATCTCTTTGGATTACACATTGCTTAGTATTACTACTGAAGAAAATGTTATGACAGACACCTGGGTGCCGGCTGAAAGGTGGTGGGAGCGACTGATGATGGCCAGCTGGATGCTGGTAATGCTGGTGTTGACACAAAGCTACACTAGTAACCTCATGTCCCTGCTGGCTGTGAGGTACATCCCACAACCCTTCCAGACATTACGTGGGCTACTCGCCTCCCGCGCCACTACCATGGTCTGGGAGTACAACACAGCCTACGTCAGTTACTTCCGTGTAAGTCCTTTCTTGATATGATCTTCTGTTCATATCAGTTATTTTCTTATCATTCAGAGATATTTAAGGTTTTAATTTGATGCCATTCTGGTTAAAAATAATATGTAAAACTATTATATCTTGCATTTATTGTCGAGTAAGCAGCGCTTAGTCAACTTTTCTGACTAATGAAGGCGGTAAGTACCAATCATTAACTCAAAATGCTTTCCTGGTGGGCTTTACATGGACTGTAGGCAGCGTATTGATACTAGCTTCTCTCTCTCTCTCTCTCTCTCTCTCTCTCTCTCTCTCTCTCTCTCTCTCTCTCTCTCTCTCTCTCTCTCTCTCTCTCTCTCTCTCTCTCTCTCTCTCTATTGGATCTGATAGATCACTAAATAGTGACCTATTGTGCATTTTATATAAGTATTTAAGTTATAATCCCTATTTTTTCCTATAATGAATTCAGTAGGTAATTTCCTTTTCAGTTATTTTAAAACTTGGGCCTCTTATCAGTGGTCAAGTGCGGTCATACCGCTAAGCTCTTGGGAGTTAGCGTGGACTGTTACCCATACCATGGCTTGTTGTAGTGCTTTAGAATCCCAGATTCATGTGTTGAAGAAGGAGATTCTACTTCTTCAGGAGGAAAATAGGAAGCTGAAGCTTCGCATAGATGAGTTTGGGACCGAGTGTGAGAAGGATTTAGCTGGTAAGGTAGGAATGGTCACCAGCAGTGATAGTGGCAGCTGCTTTAAGTGGCAAGTGGTTCACAGTTCAGGAAGAAGGAAGATGAGGAGAGTTAATATAGAAGATGTGAAGGTAGGAAATCGATTCTCTGTTCTCCAAGACGAGTGTACTTCAGTGGTTAGTGAGGTTGAAGGTACCACTGATTCCCCTGCTAATCAAGGTAAGAATATTTTAATAGTAGGCGATTCTCAGGTAAGATATACGGACCGTGCATTTTGTAACAGACAGAAAGGTCAGACAGAGAGTGTGTCTTCCTGGAGCTGGTGTTGGCGACATAGTCAGCAGGTTGGATAATATGGCAGGTAATGGGAACAAGCCCATTATCTGTCTTAGAGCTGGGGGTAATGATATTGGGATGGGCAGGAGAGAGAGGAGCTGCTGGATACGTACAGGTCAGCCATAGAAGTAGTTAGGTCTAAGGGAGGGATCCCAGTCATATGTAACATCTTGCCTAGAAAGGGAGTGGGCAATGAATGGATGTCTAGGGCAATTGGTATAAATCGCTGGCTAGACAGGTACTGCAAGGAACTTGCAATCCCATTCATTGATAACTGGGACCTTTTCTTTGGCAAACGTGATATGTATGCAAGGGATGGGGTTCATCTCTCTGGGGATGGAGTGGTTGCATTAGCCAATTCAATTGAGAGGGTAATTGATGACTTGTTTAGGAATTTAAACTGATAGATTATAGAGGTATGGGTGTTTGTGGGAAACAATCAGGCTGCAGAATTAGGGTTAAAAACAGCAGTTATTACCGGGATACCTCAGGGATATGTTTAAAAGACAATATTCAAAATAAAGTTGCTAGTAATGGCAAATCAATTGATCAACAAACAAAGAGAGATAGTAGAGGGCAACGAGTGACTAGCTCCCTTAAGATTTACTATACAAATAGTAGGAGTCTAAGAAATAAGATAGATGAGCTAAAATTACTTGCAAGTGTAGGTAATATAGATATTATTGGTATAACAGAGACCTGGTTCAACCTTAAAGATAGAGAAATGTCTTCTGAATGCAGCATACAGGGTTATAAACTATTCCACACTGATAGGGTCAACAGGAAGTGTGGTGGTGTGGCGATGTATGTCAGAGAAAATTTAAATTGCTGTCTTAGACATGATATAAGATTAGAAACATCGAACACAGATTCGGTTTGGCTTCAGTTTCTCGAGGGTCGTGACAAATTAATTTTGGGTGTGATTTACAAGCCCCCAAACCTTGATAGGGAGTGCAGTAAGCTGTTATGGGACGAAATTCATAAGGCATCTAGATATGAAAATGTTGTGATAATGGGAGATTTTAACTTTAGACAAATTGATTGGAACAATATGACAGGAAATCTTGAGTCTAGTGGCTTTCTTGATACTGTTCAGGATTGCTTTTTAGAACAGGTTGTGACTGAACCAAGTAGAGGAAACAATCTGCTTGACTTGGTTCTTGCCAACAAAGATTCACTAATTAATAATCTTGAAGTTAATGATGAGCTTGGGGAAAGTGATCACAAATCACTTAGTTTCAATATATCTTGGAATAACCCAGATAACTGCAATCAAATCTCTGTCCCAGATTTTCGCTTGGCCGACTTCATGGGACTGAAAAGTTACTTGGGTGGGTTAAATTGGGATGTCCTAACTATGGGTCAGGTAGGTGATCTTGGTTGCCAATATGACGTTTTTCAGAGCATAGTTCTAGCTGCCCAGACAACTTTTGTTCCGAGTAGGGAAATTAGATCTAACAAAAATGATCCCAAATGAATGAACAATAGATTAAAACATCTCATTGGTCAAAAGAGAGGCATTTGTAGGTGTATCAAAAGAGGGGATGGGCAGTTAAGAAATCAATATATTCAATTAAAGAGAGAAATGAAGAAAGGAATAAGAAAAGCAATAAGAGATTGAGGCTAAGGTCGCAAGGGATTCAAAGACTAACCCAAAAGGGTTCTTTCAGGTATACAGAAGTAAGATTAGGGACAAGATTTGCCCACTTAAGAGTAACTCTGGTCAGATCACTGACAGTGATAAGGATATGAGTGAAATTCTAAATACCTACTTCCATTCAGTTTTCACCCAGGAAAATACTAGCGATATTTCTGAAATAATAGATTACATAGAACAGGGTGATAATAAACTATGTACGATTGCGGTAACTAGTGACATGGTCCTCAGACAAATAGAGAAACTAAAACCTAACAAATCCCCAGGTCCTGGTGAACTGTTTGCAAGGGTGTTAAAGGAATGTAAAGAGGAACTTAGCATACCTTTGGCTAATCATTTTAACATATCACTACAAACTGGCATAGTGCCTGATAAGTGGAAAATGACAAATGTAGTACCTATTTACAAGGTAGGTGACAGGTCCTTGACTTCGAATTGTAGACCAATAAGCCTTACCTCCATAGTGGGAAAATTTATGGAATCAATAATTTCCGAAGCAATTCGTAGCCATCTTGACAGGTACAGATTGATTAATGATTCTCAACACGGTTTTACAAAGGGGCGTTCCTGTCTTACGAATTTACTAACTTTTTTCACTAAGGTGTTTGCGGAGGTAGATCATGGCAATGAATATGATATTGTGTATATGGACTTCAGTAAGGCTTTCGATAGAGTTCCACACCAGAGAATATTGAGGAAACTTAGGGCACACGGAATAGGAGGAGAAATTTTTTCCTGGGTAGAGGCATGGCTGACAAATAGACAGCAGAGAGTTTGCATAAATGGGGAGAAATCAGAATGAGGGCACGTCACAAGCGGTGTTCCTCAGGGGTCAGTGTTGGGCCCGTTGTTGTTCACAATTTACATAAACGACATAGATGAGGGAATAAATAGCGACATAAGCAAATTTGCTGATGACACCAAAATAGGCCGTCCAATTCATTCTAATGAGGACATTAGAGCACTGCTGGATGATTTGAATAGACTGACGCAATGGTCGGAGAAGTGGCAGATGCAGTTTAATATTGGCAAATGCAAAGTTCTAAATGTTGGACAGTTAAATAACCATGCCACATATAAACTAAATAATGTAGATCTTAATACTACTGATTGCTAACAGGATTTAGGAGTTCTGGTTAGCAGTAACTTAAAACCAAGACAACAGTGCATTAGTGTTTGCAATAAAGCTAACAGAATTCTTGGCTTCATATCTAGAAGTATAAATAATAGAAGTCCTCAGGTTGTTCTTCAACTCTATATATGCTTGGTTAGGCCTCATTTAGACTATGCTGCTCAGTTCTGGTCACCGTATTACAGAATGGATATAAGTGCTCTGGAAAACGTACAAAGGAGGATGACAAAGATGATCCCATGTATCAGAAATCTTCCCTATGAGGATAGACTGAGGGCCCTGAATCTGCACTCTCTCGAGAGGCGTAGAATTAGGGGTGATATGATCGAGGTGTATAAATGGAAAACAGGAATAAATAAAGGGGATGTAATTAGTGTGCTGAAAATTTCCAGCCAAGACAGGACTCGCAGCAATGGTTTCAAGTTGGAAAAATTCAGATTCAGGAAGGATATACGAAAGTACTGGTTTGGTAATAGAGTTGTGGATGAGTGGAACAAGCTCCCGAGTACAGTTATTGAGGCTAAAACGTTGTGTAGTTTTAAAAATAGGTTAGATAAATACATGAGTGGGTGTTGGTGGGTGTGAGTTGGACCTGACTAGCTTGTGCTGCTGGATCTGGTACAGTGCTCCATCCTTGAGTGGGGATGACCAGACTGGGTGGGTCATTGGGATAATCCGGGGGATGGGTCATTGGTCTAATCCGGGGGGGAAAACATGGACCTGCTCCGCATGGGTCAGTAGGCCTGTTGCAGTGTTCCTTCTTTCTTATGTTCTTATGTTCTTAACGCGGCGGTAGTTCATTCAACTCACAACCGAAAGTCTCCTGGGTCAAATAATTGGCGAGACGGGACATTTAAGCAAGATTTCTAGCACCTTGTGCCCCCTTCCCCATCGTTAACTAGCAATTAGTCCTACGAGTTATTATCTGTTGTGGGTCGCTTCCTGGGAAGAACCTAAAGAAAAAGGAACTCACTGGAAATAAGACACTCTGATTTCCTTGGATTCTGCTGGTTCACTACCGCAATGAGGCTACTAAACTAAAAGATATGACCATTTATTTGTAGTGCAATACAGACGGCGAGTTTATAAGTTCATAAACACTCACTACTTCCTTTTTACTTGACTTGTGCAATTTAGATAAATAATGCTGATAAACGCTGATGTTGATATATGGAAATATAAACACACACGCAGTATAAAAGGATCACATTATACTGCATATGTGTTTTGTTTCCCTAGTGTCGGTATTTTATACCATTTATTTGCATGTTAATATATGTTGATATTTGATGATGATACATGTTGATGTTCATACACGTTGATGTTACATGCTTAATGGTGATGCATGTTTAATGTTGACCAACCAAGAAGTTTATACTTTTTTAAGTTAATACATGATGTTGATACTAGCTGATTACGATATTCGATGTTTACATAAACGGACAGAACAGAGTACACTGAAAACAGAAAAGTCTGACAGAAAAGTAGAGTTACTCAAAGAAGGGTACAGTTACTCTGACATAGCACTGAAGTGTCGCTCTCACAAGGTCGTTGAGAAAAAATGGGAAATTTCCTCCTAAGCTTAAGAAATGAGTTTTGGACAAAATGATGTAATGTCACGTAGTATTGTAAAAATAATTCTTGGTAGAAAAATGGAACACTGACTATAGAGAAAAGTGTCGTGGACAGGTATATCTGAATTTCATAAAGGTAGGTTGTTGTCCATTGAAGAGATGTGGCCCCAAAAGGTCGTAAGAGGAAGATAAGCGCTGTAGAATACAAGTGTGGAAGACTGCTACTAATGGTTGGCACCCTGGAGAGCATCGACGGGAGTTTGCAGATTATAATGGAGATGCTGCAAGGTTCCTCAAAATGAGACGTGAAATCTAGTGGGGATGTATTGAAGAAAGATAGGGAATAAATATACCCTTTGAGAAATACAAAAGAAGAGAAGTACAGTTGCTAGGAAATTTCGACAGGGTCAGGTACTTTTTCGCTGGTTTCATTATAAATGGGATGGGAGGGAGGGGGTCTCTAGCAAGTACTTGCCTGATAACATTCGTATTACATCAGACTACACAGAATCAGTGGCCTTTACAGGAGATATGTAAGCATGCCAACAAGATCATTAACTATCAGTATAACAATCGCTTTTTTTTCTATCTAGGAAAAGGTTCATAAAACAGTTGACATGAGAGCAGTCCATGAAACTGGCTTCGAAGGAACTGTAAAAGTGCTGCTGGGAGACCATCAAGAAAGACACATTTTTTTGTAATATTTACCTGAGGTTATGGAATAGCAAGCGTTGGTCAAGTAAGTGAAAATTTGGTGGAGAGTTGCAACAACTCTTCTGTTAGAGAAGGAATCAGGAGGAATATTCAGTAAAATTGTATGCCGGAAGAGCCTCCTTAAATGGCCTCCTTGTTGAGGTAAAGAGGCTATCGATCTGAGGAATTGGACCTCTTGGTCTTCCTCCGACCAAACCTAATTACCTCCCAATCGTTTTTTCCCTATCCCTTCCTCCCCTTACCGTCCCTTTGTTTCCCTTTCCTCCCCTCTCCCAACCCTCCCCTTTTCCCCATCCCATTTGTCTCCTCTGGGATCCTTCCCTCTGGCATTGCGGTTTCTAGGTGGGAGGTGGCGTGCTGGGGTTCGTCCCCCTCCGCGAGGTCCCGCGGGGGTGGTGTGGTTTGCCGTGGAATCTGAATTGTCTGAGGATGCCTTACTCTCTTCCCGGTTTCAGGGTCATGGGTGGGGTGCCCGTTGGAAGATAGGTGTATCTCCGGAAACTGCCTATCGGTTCTGGGGGGTGGCAGCCGAAGGAGGAATGCTTTGTGGCGGGCTTCCAACAGTCCTTTCTTTAGTCTGCCGAGGTAGCTCGGTAGATGTGAGCTGCTATCCCGGAGTGCTGGTTTACTGACACGATGGTTAGGGTATGGCATGGGTTCCACGCTCCATCTTCACTGCCAGTGGGCTCGAGGCCCTCTCGAGTGAAGGGGGGGGGGAGCTTTCGGTCCCTCCATGCCTCCTAGCAACTATCCCTCCACTGTCCCTCTTTTTTTTTTCCTTTCTTTTTTTCTTCTTAAAATAACAAGAAAGGAGATATCACGGAAGATGCACCTATAATTATGGATTCTTCACCCAGTGTAACCCTTCCTCCTCCCAGGCCCCATTCTGATCCCACATCCTGTTCTGACCCGGCTTCATTATCGGACCATTCTCTCGACTCTTCTCATTCCCCTGTTCCTTCTGCTAGTGATGCTTCATCACCTGCTTCAGGTGCTGTGGCGCCACCCATTTCAATTGATGCCGCTGCTTCTAGCATGACATTTACATGCATCCAGCTTCCCCGAATACGGTGCGATGGTTCTCGGATCGCCCACCTCCCTCGGGTCAGACCGTCCGCGGTTCTACTCCTAAGCGTCCACGACAACCTACTGACGACAGTTCGTCAATGACCACTCAAAAACGACCTACACAACACTCGCTACTTTTTGAATACCGGACTAACAAGTATGCAATGGACAAAATTCTTTTCTTTGCGAACGACCTCTGAAACTGATTATCTTTCTGACCACGGAATTGGTAAAGCTCTTTTACGGCATGTTGGCCAAAATATATCCTTCCATGCTCTTCGAAGCGGTGCTCGTCTTGTAACAGTGCAGAATTCAGAGCAAGCTCATGCTCTCTCCCGCATCACTTCCATAAATAACACACCAGTCACCATTCATAAGCACGCTTTTTATAATTCTTGCAGTGTACTGTGGTCTTGCCTCGTACCATTGTACAGAGTGATTTTCTTTGTCATGTGGCGATGATATTTTAGAACAATTAGCCCTTCAGAACCTCCTGCTCGTGGACGGAGGTGCTTTCCTAGTAATATCGCTCGTTTAACGTTCGACTGCCATGAGCTTCCATCCTTTGTTTATATTGTGGGCCATCGCCTAGAGGTCCATCAGGTTGTTCCCACGCCCCAACAGTGTCGTAATTGCTGGCGTTTTGGGCACCCCGCTAAACACTGCAGATGTACGACAGAATGCCCGGTCTGCAGAGCAGCAGATCATTCCAATACGTCATGTAATCTTCCTCCCTCTTGTCTTAACTGCAGGGAACCTCATCCTTCCTTTTCACGCCGTTGCCAAGTTTATTGTAATGAACGAGAGATCCGTTATCTTAAGGAGCATGAGGGCCTCACACTATGGCTGTCTCTCAGCTCCACCTTCAAGGTAAACTCCCTCATGTCCCGTATGCTCAGATAGCCTGAAGACCTCCAACCTCGATGGTCCTCCCGCCTCTCAATCCCTCTGCGTCGATGTCTTCCGGGGTGGCCCCAGTTTCTAATTCTTTTGCAGTTGTATCCTCTGACACTTCTACCTCCGCACCACTTCCTACTTCTACTTCTTCATCTCATTCGCTTGATTCTCAATCTACAAAACCTCGCAGACCTACACTTTCTTCATGTCCATCACCTGCACAAAATATATCTCCTGCCTCGGCGCCTCGTTCTCACCCTCTTTCCAGCTCTCACACCAAGGTAGAGGTTCACCCTCTCGCTCGTGTAGTTCCCTCTTCTTCTGTTCCCCCTCCTGTCTTCCTTTATAGTTACCCTCCAACCTCCTTCATCTGTTATACTGCATGCCTCTTCTACCCCAGCCGATGCATCTCCCCAGGTTCATACTCCCTGCCCCCCTCAGACCTCTTTGGTTGCCTCAGTAGTTCCTCTGACCTTTCCTTGCAACGCCTCTCCTGTCTCTGACATCATGGCATCGTCGGCTTCCTTAACGATTGAAACGTTAGATGCTATTTCCAACTATATTGCAGGGACGACACCTCTGATGGACACTGGGACTCCCTCTACCCTTTTTATTTCACGACCCTCGCAACAACTTGTTCCTCCGCAACATTCACATTCTTCCTTTTTTACATGCTCACCGTTACCCCCACACTTTGAGTTTACAGATCCTAATATCCCATAGGTTTTATCGTTTCTTATTGTTGCCAATTTTATTTCTGTACATAATTTCTTTTTTACAATGGAATATTCGTGGCCTTAGGGGCAATCGGGGAGAACTAGTGTGCTCTCCCAGTGGTCCAAAGTATGTGTTGGGCTGCAAGAGCCCAAAATTCGTTCTGCGGTCATTCGCCCGTTTTGGGTTACGTGCTATTATATTCTTCAGATCCTTTACCTGACGACACTCTTAATGAAATCGCACTTCTTGTGCGCGTTGATATACCATATCACAAGTTTTCATTCATTCCCCGCTGCATTATACTGCAGCTCGGATTTATTTACACAGATGGTTTACAGTTTGCTCTCCCTTTCTCCCTCACATGCATTCTACACCTCTGACATTGCGTTTTTAATTTCTTCTCTACTGCCGCCTATCTTGCTCACCATCACCTGTGGGGAGGGTCCCACTGCGACTCTCGTGGTGTTCAGTTGGAGACTCTTCTCGGTTCTCACCCGCTTCATGTTTGAAATACAGGTGCTTCTACCCATTTTGACTCTCGCACTCAGTCTCTGTCCTGCATTGATCTTTCTATTTGTTCCTCGCCCATTGCACTTGATTTCATGTGGTCTGTTCTTCCAGATTTACATGTTAAAGTTTACTTTCCTATTCTTCTTGCTTCTGTTACATATACCCGTCCGTTTCGTAACCCTCGTTGGCAATTTGCTCGAGCAGATTAGGAATTATACTCCCGTCTTACCACTTGTTGCGAGGACCCCCTTTCGTCGTCTATTGATGAACTAGCACACCAGTTTTCGGCCTTAGTCCTGGCTGCGGCGACTCGTTCTATTCCCCAAACCTCAGGTAGGCATTCTCAGACATGCGTGCCTTGGTGATCTTCTACATGCGCCCGCACAGTGCATTTAAAACGTGCTGCATGGGGCCGTTATCGATATAACCGTACCACAAGTGCTGCTGTTCGCGGCGTCATCCGCGATGCTAAGCGTTCTTGTTGACGAGACTACGTGTCTACCATTACCTCGTCTTACCCAATATGCACGATTTGGAAAAAGGTGCGAAAATTGTGTGGTAAGTACGCTCTGGACCCAGCTCCCGTTTTGCGGGTTGCTGGAGTTAACTTCACAGACCCTTTAGAAGTTGTCACGGAAATTGGGAACTATCTTGTCCATATCTCCCGAGGGCTTCATCTCTGCCCCTCATTTCTTGCATCTAAACCTACCAAGGAGCAATTGCTGTATAATGTACCTCTTACTCTTCTACAATTAGAGTCCACGCTTTCCATGTGCCGACCGTCGGCACCAGGACTTGACAATATCCACATCAGTATGCTGCACCATCTCCATTCTACGGCCCTTCCTGTTGTTTTACGTCTTTTCAATCTAATTTGGGAGCGAAGGGTTCTCCCACAATACTGGAAATCAGCTAGGGTACCACTGTTTCGCAAACCTGGCGCCTCAGTGCTTGACACCTCTCACTATCGTCCCATTTCCCTGACCAGTGTGGTCTGCAATGTGATGGAATGATTGGTGAACAGACGTTTGATGTAGTTCTTCGAGACACACAATAGCCTTTCCCCTCCCCAATATGGCTTTCGCAAAGGCCACTCTAATTTAGAACCCTTGCTCCACTTCGATACATATATTCGAAATGCCTTTGTTAACCACCACTCTGTCCCAGCAGTCTTTTTCGATCTAGAAGGCATATGACACCACTTGGAGGTACAACATTCTAGCCCAAGCCCACTTCTTAGGCCTCCGCGGTAATCTACCAAGCTTCATCGCTGTTTTCCTGTCCGATAGACATTTTCGGATCCATATTGGCGCCTTGCTTCCCTTGGACTTTGTACAAGCCGAGGGACTCCCATAAGGTTGTGTCCTCAGTACTACTCTTTTTCTCTTAGCTATAAATGACCTACCTTCCATTCTTCCTTCGCATATTTGGTCATCACTTTATGTTGATAACTTTGCTATAACTTACTCGGGCGCTGACTATCGACTAGTAGCGGCCTCCCTTCAGGTAGTGATAGACCGAGTCTCAAGCTGGATCATTTCTCATGGCTTTAAATTTTCCAGTACAAAAACCCGATTCATTACTTTCACTAGACGCCGGCTTATACCAAATACTCCCTTGTACTTGCAGGGTTCACGTATTCTGACATGAGACACGTCAGCCGGTGGTCAAAGACCGCCGGCTGACGGTCACATGTCGCATTTCTTCATTAAAGACAACTTGCCATAGTTGGCTAAATCTCCTAAAGTTCTTGCACATCGTTCATCGTCGCACTCTCCACCGTTTGCATTCCACCCTAGTCTTGTTCACGCTAGATTTTGATGACCAGATCTATTCTGCGGTTTCTCCCGCAACTCTAAGTTAGATCCTTTCATCACCAAGGTCTCCGCCTGTGCCTTGGTGACTTTCGTTCGTTCCCTGTTGAGAGCCTCTATACAGAGGAGAATTTTTCATCATTGTTTGATCGCCGTGATGCTCATTGCCTTCGCTATTATGTTAGATCCTATGACCTCTACAATCCTTCCGCACATAGGATAGTCATTGATGTTAGTAAACGTTCTTTATTTGTTCATCGTCCCTGTTTACTCCGTCCCTTTTCTCTCTGCCTACATTCACTCTTGTCTTTTCTTTAGATACCACCTTTCACTGCTTATGTAGCAACTCACTTTTCCCTGCCCCCTTGGGAAGTTCCGGCTGTTCGTGTCTATTCTTTCCCACTGCCATGCGCAAAAGCCCAACTACCTATGGTGGCTTCCCGCTCTCTTTTCCTTGAACACTTCTGCTCTCATTCTCATGCTATCGCAGTGCACACCGATGGTTCTAAGTCTTCTGATGGCGTCGGATTCGCAGCAGTGTTTCCGGACAGTGTCGTGCGAGGGCATTTATTACTCTCGGCTAGCATTTTTATGGCTGAATTGTATGCCATTCTTGTAGCACTTATCGGTATTGAATCTATGCCTGTGTCAACATTTTTATTTTTTCAGACTCCCATAGTGCTTTACAGGCTATACGGAAATATGATACACCTCACCCCCTAGTTCTTCGTATCCAACTTTGGTTATGCCTTATCTCTAGCAAGCACAGATGTATTGTTTTTTTGCTGGTCCCTGGTCTTGTTAACGTACAGGCAATGAACAGGCAGACACTGCTGCGCGGTCAGCAGTACATGACCTCCCAGTTTCATATAGAGGTGTTCCATACAAGGACTATTTTGCTGTAATTGCTACCCATCTTCGCACCCATTGGCAACAACGTTTGTCTGATCAGCTCCTTAACAAACTTCATTCTGTTAAGCCAAGTATATGTTTCTGGTCGTCTTCTTGTTATCGGTGTCGAGGTTGGGAGACTACTCTCTCCCGTCTTCGAGTCGGCCACACTCGTCTTAGTCACGGGTTTCTCATGGAGAGGCGCCCTGCTCCTCTCTGTGAGAATTGTCAAGTTCCATTATGAGCTAGCCACATTCTGTTGGACTGCCCATTCTATCAACTAGCATGCAGAATTTACCTTCAACGTTGTCTCCGCTCTGCTGCCCTTTATTTACCTTCTCTTCTTGCTGACGGATCCTCCTTTAATCCAGACTCTCGCATTGCCTTTTTGAGAGCAAATAATGTACTACACAAACTCTGATGGTGTCTCTGGCACTCTTCTCAGCCCTTTTCACCTTAATCTCTTGCTACCCTCTACCCCTGCACTATCCACTGTCCCGCTACACTTTATAACCTAATAATCATCCATTTCCCTCTTACTACCCAATACCCCTGCATCCTTCCCTACCCTTGTGGTTTAGCGCTTCTTACTGATCATAATAATAATTCCTGGAAGAGCAATATAATTATTAATTTTTCACATTAATTTTTCATTTCTATTTATTTCTTATTTTTCCCCGCCGATCCCACAAGAGGTCCAAAAAGAAAAATTTCACTCCTTCATATCACTTACTTCCCTCAAGGGTGCTTTTACCACTACAGTTTATTAAACTAACATTAAACCCTTACTTTTATTTCTAAAACGGTAATCGCTTCGTCCTTATGTGTCCCCGCTAGTATTATATACATCCAAAGAATGGAAGCACTTACTCTGCATGAATAATTAGAGGGCCTATTTCAAGGTGCTCTCACCCTACGGTTTAGCTCTTTTCTAAACAATATAATTATTTTTAATTAAAAATCCGGAATCTCCGTAAGTACATGAGGACACCAGCGTATCAATACACTCTTCCACGTACCTAACACACATCACATTACACGGACCACCCATCCAGACGAT